TTTTTTAATGCAGGACGATGAGATATCGAGATAAACCCTGACCGGGCAGACTTCCAGCTCAGTTTACACCTTCATTACAAACAGTGGAGGAGGTCAGGGCTTGTGGCTTGTTGGTGTGGGGGGGGGGGGTTAAAGGTATTTAGGTGGTTTCCATGGCAGCTGGCTTCCCTCACACTTGCAGGAGAGAGATGCAGCCCACACATTGTGAAACGCTCTGTAGAGTAGTGCTGTGCAGTAAAAAGGCGAATTTCTCCGCCACCAGGTTTCAAGCTGCTAAAGTTTCCTCCCAGCAATCACTTGCTGCATCCTTCGCTTCGCTGTGTTCAACAGGTCGCCATCAACAACTGCAGCGCTTTAATCACACTATAATATATAAATATATATGGAAATATTAATACAATTAAAAAAAATAACCTGTGAATTTACACGTCTAATGTAAAATAACATGAAATTACTGTTAATTTAAAGAAAAATTCCTTTTTTCACATAAAAAGTAAAAATTGCAAATCTAGAATTTGTTTTTCGCAGATATTTGCTGTTTATTTAATAGGTCAAACTGTTAAATACTGTTAACTCATTTCTAAAATTCTGTAAAATTAGTGAAAATTAACTTAACAAAAAAGTATTCTGTACTTTAACATGGATTTGTTTGTTAATTGACAGATATCTTGTATAATTATGGATATTTTCACAACAAATGTATAAGCAGGTAAACTGTCAAAATACAGTTTTTATCAGTGAAATCAGCAATAATTACTGTAATTTTCAACAGATAAATGACTTTTATTACAGTTCTATGACTCGATCAAAAGAAAAAATTAAATCAGCTACTTTACAAATTAGGATTTTTCTAACAACTATTATATTTTTATAATTATTGAAATAATTGAATTGAATATTTTTTTATGTAAAAACATTTAATGATTCCAGCTTCACAAATGTGATAATTTGCTGCTTTTTGCTTTGAAATATTTAAACAACTTTCATGTATTTGTGATATTTTTGAGGTTTGGACTGTTGATTCTACAAAATAAGAGTGTGAACTTTGTCACTTAAATAGAGAAAATGATCAGCAGAATAATCTATAATGAATTCCACCAATTACGACATTAAAATCCTGCTTTTACATTAATGCATTGTAATAATCTAATGACACAGCCATGAAGGACATTTTTATACTTTTAATACTTTAAGTACATTTTCCTGATTATACTTTAATATTTCACTTGAGTTATTTTTACAGTGTGGTTTCACTGAATCCTTCCACCAACAATAATCTATATATATATATATATATATATAATCTATCTGGAGGGACGTCAGGAGGCCCGATGCCATCAGCCTCCATCAGAAGGTCAGGGACTGAAGATTAATGAGTCAGTCAGCCCGACAGCTGAACTTTGACCCCTGACTTCCTGAATGAACTGACAGTTTCTCTGCAGACGGACACAGTTACAGCATGTTTAAAGTAAAGTCAACATCAAGTGTTTATTTTTTATAGCACATTATAAAACACACAGTTACACAAGTCCCTCACAAACAAACAAACAAACAAATATAAACACACACACATATATAAGTATATACACATACAGATGTAAACACAATCACATACATAAATAACATAAATATTCAAATATGGACGAATAAAACAAGAGGGAAAAGAATAAGTTAAAAGGCATCAGATTTTATAAACTGATCATAAAAGTTCAAAGTAAAGCTGTCAGATAAATGCAATGGATTACAAGTATAAAGTATAACGAGGTATTAGTAAGTGGACCAGGAAGCTTTCGAGGACGTGTACATATAACTGTTATTATATTTACATTTTTGTATTTTATTTGTTTAATTTAATGTGTATTTTATTATCTGCTGTGAAGTATATCTTATCTTTACAACCTTTTTCCTTCAGGGACCTTTTCTATCATTCATTAAACTGACAAAGTGACGTATTTTATAGATATTTCACATTATAGTCAATAATTAACAATAACAGTAGAGAACAACTGATAAACTGAACAATGAACACAATAACTGCGGATTTGGATGAATTCTGAGCTGATTATTTCCTGTGAATATGAGTTTTCCTGATAGTTTAAGTAACTTTTAATACAATTGTGTCTGTATTATGTATTTTATACATCTTTAACAATCATACACAGTTAATAGGCTTCTTTTTTTAAAACAAATTCAGTGTTTGAAATGCTGAGTAGTTGTGATTTTGAGCAGATTATTTCCTGTTTATTGAACTTTTTATAATATTTTTGTCTGTATTTTGTATTATAAAAGTCTAAAGGAGTCTATAAAGTCTATAAAGTGCTTGTCTCCAGACTTTTCTTCTACCGGCTCTCAGTGAGTATCTGTTTGATTCTGATCAATAACAGTCTGATGTATAGTGTTTATAATAAATTCATTGTTAGATTATAGATCTTTATCAGGCTTTTTTTAAACGGAAACAGTCGAATAATCAGATCAATAATCAGTATTTGTTAATATAAAATCAGTTAAGCTCTCAGAGTTGATGTTGTGCAGATTATTATTATTTATTGATCTCTGAACAAGATGATTGTTTGCATTCAGTCTTGGTGAGATTGAGGAAGAGACCAAACATCAGACTTATTTATTTATTTCTTCAGTTGTCCGCAATGCACCGTGCTCAACGGCTCCTCGGTGGGGTTCTTTCATTTAATACAGACATATTTATCCTGAATTAATGCAATAAAAAATACACTGTGGAGGCTTTTTTATGTAATTTAAAGAAATGACAAAGGTTTTTTTTATAACTCCAAAAAGTAATTCAATGAATCTATTGTCAGATAAAACTTCTAATTTATTGATTTAGATTTAATTTTTATTTTTTATTTTTAGTAGCCTCATCAACTTAAAACTTGTGTTTATGCTACCAAATTATTAAATAAATGTTCATTAAAAATACTTTTGATTATAGAAGATAATTCCTGAAACTCAATTAGTACATTTAATTTCATTAGAAGTCGCCACAACTCAGAAAGATTAAAGCAAACTGTTGTGTTAACATTTGTTTTTAGAGTACATTTAATTAATTACAAGTCAACCACAAAATATAATAAATACAGTAGAGTTTGTTACAAACATTTACAGAAAGAAAAATATATAGGAGAAAATGTTAAAATAAATAAATTAAAGGTCAAAGGGAGAGAGAAGATCGTCTTTATCTGTCAGCACGACGTTACAATGTTAATTAAAACAGTAAAAGATTAAAAATGAAAGTGGACTTAAAGCAAATATCTTGTAATAATGATATTTATTTAAATCTTCATCGTTACATAATGTGAAGCACAATCACTTCGTTAGTTCACTTGTTGTAGTTGTTTGTTGTTTGTTGTTTGACAAATATTAAACTGTCTTTACTGAATGTGATAAATAAATATCTTATTACACATGTTTACTGTTTACTAGCATTGTCTTGTTTTTATTCATCTATTTGTTGTATTGTATTTAATTAATAGTATCTTTATGAACTGTATATTTATCAATTGTATTTTTCTATTCTTCCTTGTTGTTTTTTTAAATTATGAATGCTTTGGCAATAATTGTATTCATGCCATTAATACAGTGGTTTCTTCATTTTAAGAGGTGTAAGAAAACTTAAAAAAATATACACAATAATCCTTAATCTGAACATTTCTGTGAAGAAAACTGAATGAAAATATTAAAAATAATAATATTAATACATTTAATTTGTAGAGCGTTAAAAAGGAATTATGTTATATTATATTATGTTATATTATATTATATTATGTTATGTTATGTTATGTTATATTATATTATGTTATATTA